TGGATATTTTGCATCTGTCGTTGGCATACTTCTGACAGATATAAAAATCTTCCCCTTGTTGGCAGAGCAGCCTTCTCCTACTTCCCACCTGCCTACCACCAGTAACAAAAGGGGGGGGGGAGGGTTATTTAAATCCCTCCCTTCCCCTTAGCATGTACGCTTCCTCTGAGCCTGCAAATCAGTCCAATCACACGCTTCTCTATGAGAAACCTGTGATTGGACACGACACGACTCCAGTGACGTCTTGAAGAGGCATGGAGAGCGGTGCTGCATATTTAGCCTGGCATTGGATTCCAGGTAACTAATAACTTCATTTTAAAATTCTTTTTTATTTAGAGATGGAGAACCTAATGTATAATGACCAATATTGCAGTATAAGTTAAAAAACACAGCTTTAAAAAAAAAAAAAAAAAAGTTGTATGTAAATATACATACATACATCAATGGTGAAGCATGTATTTTGGAAACATAATCTGATTGAGGTGTTCTGGAAAAATCATAAACTATTATAAGAGTTATATTGCTGTGCTACAACTATTCGACTAATTAAACTAGTTAATTTGCCCGACTCCTCTCAATTTCTGAAAGTTCATGTAAGTCAACCACTTGAGACAACATGTACCTACATTTTCAGCTTTCCCTAAGTGTAGTCACTAGTCAGCCACAAGAGCTTTGATAGATACACAGGGTGGGCCAAAACTCAGAGTAGAATTTAACAAGTAAATTACTTATTTGTTGGTAGTTCAATATTTTTTTGCAGTTACCTATAATAACTGACTTTTGAGAGATTCATCATGGGCAATTTCACGAAGGAACAATGAGTAAAAATAGTGTAATTTTATGATGGTGTTTTGACAGTTACTGATGTGATATATCGGGATATGGCTGAAAATGTTTTACATCCTGTAGTGGAAATCGTCCTGAAATGTGGTATGGGCTGCTGCCCATAAAGCCAGGTTCACAATGAACCTACAGAGACAACTGTTCTGTGAGCAGATAATTTCAAGAAATTCACTGATTAATTGGAAGTAACGTTCACCTGACCTTTCAGTTCCTGATTACTTCCTGTGGGGATATCTGAAGGAGCGAGTGTATGTGTAAAAACCACATACACTTGAGCAGCTCAAGAAGAATATCCGTGCAGAGATTCAAGCGCTATGTAGTATCATTGAAATTGTTTCAATAATAAAAAAAGCTATTGACTTCTCAAATCCTACTCTTAATTTTGGTCCACTCTGTATTACCTGCTAGTTGGAAGTCAAAGTGTCACTTGAAAATAATTATTTTAAACTAGCAAGCAAACACTTTTAAACAAATGTACAAACAAAAATAAAGCAACAAAACGTTAAAAATTACATAAACATTTAAAACTCTTACTGTAACGGTTCTCAATTTCCTTTGTTGACATGCCTTTCAGCTAGGGGAGTTTCTTCAGCTTCCCCCACCACTTCTTACCCACATCTCATCAACTAGTCCACCCGTTTCAGTTTCAAGTAAACTAGCACCAGCCATGCAGGATAAACTATGTGCATGCTCATGACTTTTGCAAACAAAAAACAAAGGATGCTGAGAGTCAGGGATGCAATAATGACAAACTGATTCACCACATACAGATGAGGAAGTGTACAAATTAATTTTATGTACGCCTGTGTGTGTGTTTGTATATATATATATATATATATATATATATATATATATATATATATGCACACACAAGCTTTCACACATATATTATGTTAATAATATATAGAGGGTTCACTGTGCAGACACACTGCTCCGCACAGTGAATCACACTATGACTCAGTATGTAGAGGGATTGATTGTGCAGGGCAGTGTGTGCCACGCAGTACACAGGTACTCACTGTGCAGAGCAGTGTGTGCCACTCAATAAACAGAGGGACTGATTTTTCAGGGATGTGTGTGTCACTCAGTATACTGAGAGATCCACTGTGCAGTACAGTTTGTGTCACGCAGAATGCTCTGCACAGTATATCCCTCTATATAAGGAGTGATAGTGTAATGCACAGTGCATATATATATATGCCAGAGCGCAATTCCAGGATATGGATACCCTCCATTTTGAAGTGACGATAAACAACAAATGCATTAAGGGTGTGGAGGTTGATCAATGAAAAAAAAGTTACTCGTTTATATTGCTCAGGAAGCAAAGAGGGCCGACGCTCGTTTGATTGCACCCTTGTCATTGAGATTAACCAGCTACGTGTGTATCAAAGCCACGAGTCCCGGTTCATCTAGAGAAGTGGGGATGAAAAAGATTGCACCGATCTTGACAGGAACTCTATTCGAAACCCAGAGACCGATTGTGGGACCCGTGGATCTTGGTAGAGCACAGCCCAATGAGGGAAAAGTGAGACAATCTGCCCGCAATAGGAATATGTGGGAAAGGGTGAATGGGACTTACCTGAGGTAGACCTGGCCAAAATAGAGGAGGAGCCACATCCATGGCCGGAGTCCCAGGGGAACAAGGAGCAGTGCTGGTAGCAGGTGGCAGATGGAGTATATGATTTGGATAGACAGGACTGGTGCCGGAGAAAGCAGTTCTGCTGGAGGCATGACCCCCCTGCTGACCAGCCCTTGAGAAAAAACGATCCACAGAGCAAAACACACTCCTCAGAGAGAGCTGAAATCTTATTAAGAGATGTGTATATGGACTTGGGGCTGTTAAGTTCTTCCAAGGCTGTTAAGTTCTTTCTGATAAGCTGGCCCAATTCACTTGTGGCCAGATCCACAAGTTTGGCCTTCATTTCTTACAATATTATGAAGAACTGTAGGCCATAGCTGCACTATTTTCTCGGGTGGATGGGGGGGAGGAGCAATTGCCATGTTGCCACTGGGCCTTATCCGCCATCAGGAATATATGATTCAGTGGCCCGCTGACATCCAACAGCTTGTTATAGGTAGACTGGAGCCCTTGTTCCAAACCCATATGAGGGTATTTGTCTGACTTATATATGAAGGTCATGAAGATCGGATCAGACTTGGGTATAAGGGCCACCTTATCCAGTACTGTTGGCCTGCAAGAGAAAAGTGGGCTGGGAAGCACTGTGGGGAGCAGTCAGAGCCTTGGGAAGTGAATTGGCCAGATCATAGCATAACCTTGGTTTTAGATTCTCAGACACCACCAAGTCCTCTTCTTTAGCTATTCTGCCTTGCCCGCAAACTGCAACTGAAACACACCAGAAACTGGGATTCAGGCTAGTAACTAAGAGAAAACTGGGGCTCATCCGGAAGGCACATATAAGAGTCACCCACCCACGACGGCCACAAGCCAGTACGACATCGGCCCAAGACAGCAGCAGAGGGTCACCCTTAATGACAGGATCTTCAGAATAGACCCCGCCCAACCAAACCACTGAAGTCCTACTCTGTTGGCTCATGTGCTCTTTGGATTAGAAGCACATAATAAACTATGCGTCAAATACCCCAGGTCTACAGTACTGGTGGCCCTTATGCCCAAGTCTGATCCAATCTTGATATACAGAATTCAGTTTAGTTGCTTGGTAATGGGAATTTAACTTATCTGATGCACCTTTAAAACTGTTAATATGAGTATTCCCCACATTTAGTACACTCCAACATCTGGAAAAAAAATTAATTAAACAATAAACTAGTGTGTAATTTTAATGTAGCTCAGAAGCAGTCTGCTGATAATTATATTAATGTGCATTAACCTTCCACTTTTTAATATCATTTTAACACACTGATAGATTGAAGAATGTGGTTTTGTAACTACAATTCACAGATTTTACTATTAACATGACGTAAAGTCATGATTTTATTAATAACACGGAGGCGAGTATTATGCTGCACTCTTTCTTTATTTCCCTCAGCATCAAAGAAAAATAACATTAAAACAGTATAGAAAAAAACTGTAAATAACATGAGAGGTATATCTTCCTAGCAACAGGAACAGCCAATTAGCATCCTCTTCATAGCATAATAAGCAGTGTGTAGTATACTACTTCATCTTTATTGCGATCCCGAACAAGGACAACAAATCCAAATGAAAAGTGGGGCACTAATAAGAGGGTATGCGAGCTTTAACCTGGACCTCGAAGTCAAGCTGGAAGAGAAAGGAGACTATGGTAATATCCAAGTATAAAACTGTATTTATGCATAAAATTGCATTACATGGAATATTGGAATATCATATATATATATATATATATATATATATATATATATACATATAACATCAAACTCAGTTTAGTCAAACCTTAACCTCTTGTAGCAGGGTGACCATAGGTTTCATGAGTTTAGTGAAGTACCATGGAGCCAAAGACAGTCCGAATGGGAGGCAACTGAACCTCCATTTCCTGTCCAACCATGTGAACTGCAGTCAGTTCTTGATCCTGATGTAATCTTGATGTTGGACTGCAATAGGCACTGAGAGATATACATCCTGCAGATCCAATCTGGCCATCCAATCTGCTGGTTGGAGAAGATCTCATAAGCAACCTTCCATCTTGGATATGCCTCAACCATTGAGCTGTCTCAAACTTATCACTGGATGGATACCTTTGCCTTTTTTGGGAACCAAGAAAAGGTTGCACACGTAACCCAGGGTATGGGCCGGAATCTCTACAATTGTTTGTTTGCACATCAGTTTTTATTTTCACAGAGAAAAGGTCTGCTTCTCGTTAGGAAAAAAACTATTTCCATTGTTGGGGAACATTGAACAGGTAGAGAAAGAAAGTTTATGCAATACAATTTCACAGTGTGAAGAACCTAGGCATCTGATGAAATGAGGGACCATACATTGAAAAAAGTGTGAGCCTGCCCCCCAATATCAGTAGAGAAGAATAGAGATTGTGAAGACTTACCATAAGGTCTTTATCCTGAAGGACCACCTCTAGGGCCACTAACAACCCAGGGTCCACCACATTGTGGGAAGAAGGTTGGTATAGTGCATTGCTCAAAGAAATCGGCTTGGCCAGTATAAGAGCCTTGGTTCTGTCTAAAAGAACTTCTGTTTATTCATCCGGACAAAGGAGCCCAATTCTTTTACAAAGTTGTCCCCAAAGAGAAAACCTTTTGCCTGTGTTATCTGGCTCGTTTAGAGCCATAGTGACACGTTTGGGCTTAATCATGAGCAAGATCAATTTGCAGCGTTCTTTGACAACCGCATTTTTGGCGTTGCCAACTTAAATCACTCTCTGGATCTAACCACTTAAGATGGCGCATTCTAATTCTAGATCATCCTCTACTGCTTCAAAGATCTCGGCTGCTGGGCCCAAGATGTCCAGGATTTTATCCCATCTTACTCAGGAAATGAATGATCTTAGGATCGACTGATAGCGTTTTACATGTGTCATCAGGGACTGTTCGGCGTGGGCATTCAGCCTGCAATCTATTTCGCTTTGCCTTCTCAAAAGGCTTGCGTACTCTGGATGAAATATACTTGGCTATGTGGTCTGAGGAGACCACTGGGTGACATAGCTCATCGGGTTAAAAATGGGGTTCACCTTGAGTGTCCAAGATCCTATCGGTGTCCCCTGAGTCCGCATGATCTACCTCAATCCTGGTAGGTTTAATAGGATGTATATCCCGCGCGGGATTAGCATCCTCTTCATTAGTTTTTAATAATCAGGATCAGAAAGATCCTCTGAATCCTCCATATAGGACTCAGGGAACTCCTCCTTAATATTACTGAGATCAGATTCAAAGTTCAGTTGGACTTTTGCACTTTTCCAAAGTCTAGTCGATTTTGCCCGACTAGTGGCTCTTTTGTGCGGTGGTAAATTAATCGCGCCATCCGTGACAGCTATGGTACTGTCCATCTCTATTGTTTTGGAGGAGTGTTTAGCCTTATATGAGGCCCCTACGGCCAGGCTGAAGCAGAGCTGGTGTGAGTACAGGTACTGCTGCCTGAGCAGTCCGCTGAGCTGATCTCTGTGTCGGTAACAGGGTATGGGCAAATATCTGTGAAAGTGAATCCGACATAACTCCTATCACTGACACCAGGGCTTTCGTCATTGCTCTTTCCATGGAAGTGTGAATTAAAGCCTGCATGTCAGCAGGATCAGTAAAATCAGAAGAAACATCAGCCTTATCTCCAGGGATACCTGGAGAGGCTCTAAAGTAATCTGCATGTTTGCTGTAGTCCCAGAAGGTACAGAAAGATCCTGTCAGACTGCATCATAAATATACAGACAAACCTAAGGGAATAAATAAAGTAAAATAATACCAGAAAGAAAGGGTCAAGTAAAAAATAAATAAATAACTAAACAGGATAAAGAAATGAAAGTACTCACAATAGTGAAAAAATAGCAATTGTAATAGCAAAACGCAGGAGCTGTCCGACATCCACTACAACTAAACCCCAACTTAGATTTCTTGGAGTTGGGATCAGAGCAGCAGGCAGACAGATAAATTAAGGGGAAAAAACAGCATGATAGCACTGTGCAGGGGATAAAGATCCTTAAAGACATCCCTGAGCCCAAATTGATGGTAATTTTGGGGCCAGGGAGGTCAGGGTGGACAGACTTTATCAAAGGATATATAATAAAGCATATAACTGAATCAAGTGAAGTAAATAAATCAAATTAAGTTAAAATTAAGTAACTAAATATATTTATAAATATGAAAATATTATAATTAAAATGTAATAACTATAAAAATTAACTATATCAACCATAGTAATGATATGATAAAGTAAAATATCCCCCAGCTTCAAGATTTATGTGTATTGGGGAAACTGTTTCTTGAGCTGTTTATATAAAGTTGATTTTACTATAAAAGGTGTACTTTTATTATATTTTTTATTTTCTTATTTCTTATATACTTTGAGCACACATACAGCATTTTAGGTTTTTAATGAACCATGGGACCCAGTGTCACGTAACTGAGAGAGCAGAAAAAAAAGAGGAAGTAGTATACTGGACACCGCCCATTATGCTATAAAGAGGATGCTGATTGGCTGTTACTGTTGCTAGGAAGAGATACCTCATGTTATTTACTGGTTTCTTTTATACTGATTTAATGTTATTTTTCTTTGCTGCTGAGGGAAATAAAGAAAGAGTGCAGCATAATAGGAACCTCAGTGTCTTAATAAAATGTACATTTTAGAGCTAACTCTTAATTTGGATGTTATTCCTATACGGCTAAGTCCTACAGGGATTATGTGATCACCAGTTAATATGATAATATCAGGTTAGTGTCTCAGTGTTAGGGCTGTGTAATCACCTGTTGTTAAAACAATTGCATTTTTGAGTAGTTCAAGGTCAGTGCTGGAAGACCTCTAGTAGCAAAAGCAATAGCAAAGCCGTTTGACTTAAGGTCAGATTAGGCTGATAAGTGCAGTTTAAATTAGTGGTTTCAGAAGTCAGAGTCAGGTGTTATTTAGAAATGGGATGTATCATTGACTATTAACTGACTTTTAACTGAGTCAGACATCAGAGTCAGAATTCTAAGTCATAGATCAGAGAGAAATAAGATGAGATAATGACTTTGATGTTGACTTTTAACTGACTCAGGCGTCAGAGATCAGAGTGAAAAATAATGCAACAGACTCTGACACAGATAGTTGATGTTCTAAAAAACTTACACTGTGCATAGCTCTGACAAGAATGCTCCACTATATGTATTCTCTCTTTGACATCAGTTTTTATTTTTTTATTTTTTTTATAATGTAACATTATATTTGTCATATTATTCAGAATAAGAGTTATTAATGCATCAAGGTAGCAGCATATTTAATTTGATATTTCAATTGGAATATGAAGATTTAGTTATTTGAACACTGTTTAAAGGGATCCAGATTAAATTGCTTAATGGCCTAATCTCTTTGTTGTGGTAACGAAACAGCAAGTGACATCTACATGAGCAAGGTATGTTTAAACCTATTTGCAGTACTGCTTGTTTTGGACACACAGCTAATTACACAGACGTTTAGTGGTCTTCCCCAAGTAATAATCACTAAAGTAAGCTCAAAATGTTAAGTGCTAAGCTACAAGTCATGTCTAAAATGTACGCGCCACCTCAGAACACATTTGCATTTTGGCTTTGATACATGGCACTGGTGGTGTGTCTGTGCATATGTGGATGCATGTATTTAGTGTAATTGTTTTTCTGTTGTGTGAGTACACTGTATGTCAATACAAGAGGTGTATTAGCATGAATTGTCTGTTTGTGAATGTAGGGGTATATTTGTGTGGAATATCTGAGGAGTGTGAATGCTGGAGTGTGTTTGCCTAGAGTTGTGTGAATGCAGGGGTGTGTTTATGTGAAGTGTCTACACATCCAGGCTCCTATTTGCCCCTTTCTACACCCTTCATGCTCCCTTATATGCCATTTTTTATTCTCATCCAGGTGCCCTCTGCAACAAAATTACATAACTACATTGTAATTTTTGTTAAAGATAAAAAGACTCAAGACAATTGAGTTCAACCTTTAAACACATCTTTTTATACTGTTGATGCAAAATAAAGCAAAAAAAAATAATTTCAAGCAATGCCCATTTGTGTCACTGAAGGGAAAATATCGTTCTTGACTCCAATAGATGTCCAGATGTCTCCATGGATCAACAATATGTTCCCAAGCATTTTAATGATATCATTGAATATTTGTTAAAATCAAAAAAAGTAAGTAAAACAGAAAAAAAAATATTTAGGCCTTTTTTTTTTTTTTACTGTAAAGAACCATTTACACAGTCCCAATGGATGACCTCTGGTCTGTTGTATATTCCTGCTAATGAACAAGTTCCTACATAACAATTTGTACTAACAGTGACAACCAGTATTTATGTGCAAGGCGCTTAAACGGTGTTAAGTATCAGCGGTAAACACTTCACACTGTGCAAAATGTAAAAAACATGAACCCATATTTAGTAACCTTATATGAGTGAATAAAAACCAAAGTGCAACAATATCATTCATTTAAAGTGCCATTTGTGCATAGAAATATTTTCCTAAAAAAGAAAAAATCATAAAAAAGCACTTTTTGTTGGTCTCATTCATACTGAGCTCACAAGCTTCATGTAAGCATTTGATTTTAGCTTAAAATACTGTATGTGTGCTCCAACTATATAAGAAATAAGAAAATAAAAAATATACTAAAAGTACACCTGTTGGAGTAAAATCAACTTTATATAAACAGCTCAAGAAACAGCTTCCCGCAATACACAAATATCTATTAGAAGCTGATATACCTCTGAAGATCAAGCAACATTTGTCACAATCATACAATGTATCAAAAACCTCATGTTATTATAACCACAAGATGAATTACATAAACATCCCAAAAAGGAACTTGCTACACTATCTCATAAAATGAAGCAGCATGTAGCAGCCTAAAATGAAAGATTTATAAAAAGGGGCTACTCTTCTACATGCTGCAATAGTAAACGCAATCTGCAAACACCACCCTAGCAAGTATGGGTAGAAAGACAAAATATGTATCAAACAATCTTGACCTGTGAGGTCTAACTGTGATAATTGTGATAAAACGTGGGTTATATAAAGTGCTGGAAGATACCAAAAAAGGGTAAAAAAAAAAAAAAGACTGAAAAATGTCCTCGAGAGTACCTAACTGTAGGGAGCCCCTCCGCGATATCCATCCTGATGAACCGGGTCCAGGTGGAGTTAGGGGTCCGGAGGCTATCTGTGAAATGGCGAGAACAAACCTTAGTGACTAGAAAATGTATGGTCATGCTGATGTATGTATGTATGCTCAGGTTAGAGGAAACACATGAGGTTGTGCTGCGGCCGTAGCTTAAAAAAAGTTCATCTTTTGATACTGTAACAAGTTCCTTTTTGGAATGTTTATGCAATACATCTTGTGGTTATAATCACGTGGGGTTTTTGATACATTGTATGATTGTGACATTTGTTTCATGATCTTCAGAGGGATGTCAGCTTCAAGATTTATGTGTATTGGGGAAACTGTTTCTTGAGCTGTTTATATAAAGTTGATTTTACTATAACAGGTGTACTTTTATTATATTTTTTATTTTCTTATTTCTTATATACTTTGAGCACACATACAGCATTTTAGGTTTTGAATTTCAGGTTACAAGTCTCTCTGTACATGTATGTTACTGCCCACCTTATATAGAAGTTCAGTCACCTTCTTTTATATATATATATATATATGTATATATATATATATATTTGATTTTAGTTTTCTTTGTTTTAAATAAACAGTGTAACACAAGTCCTGCGCTCACTCCCATCACTACTGGGCCGGCAGCAATGACTACAGTACACATCAGCCCCAATATATAGTAAAAACCAAAGAAAAACAAGTTACCTGCGCTCTCGCCTTAATTCCTATGTATATTTAGACAAATGGCGGTCATTTAGTTACTCCACTGTCGCCTTTCCATTTTGTCCTTTTATTTTAATTGAATCTCTTTTACCACTTGCCTGTTCAGTCCTCCTATTTATCCAAATGTATATAAGGCCTTCTGTAGAGAAATAATATCATGCTTCGACAATATAACCTTATCTGTTTTTTTTTTTATTATTATCTGCGAACCATGATACATGACTTTCAATACCCACATCAAAAGACAAAAGCCCAGGATAGAACCTTGAATGACCCCAGTTTACCACTCTAGTACAATTTGTAATTTTTTTCCATTTACAACTGCTCTCTGCACTGTATCTTTAGCCATGAATGTAAAATCCAACATAAGATTTTTTATCTAAACCAATTGCTTGATGTAGTAAATGTAGTTCACATCAACTGCAATACCCTGATCTGTATATTTTTATTTCCTGTCCCTTCTCTCCCCATTATCTCCTTTCCTGTGAGGTGCCCACCTGCTTGCATACTGCAGATGCTTTATCCCTGGTGGTAAGAGGCAGTTGTAGGCTCACTCTCTAGTGGCTCATTCTGTAGTGATGTCACACATTTCTACAATATGTGTTTAGATCTAGACCAAGTACAGTGCTAGATGGCTAAGATCTACTTAAAAGACCACTATAGTGCCAGGAAAACATACTCGTTTTCCTGGCACTATAGTGCCCTGAGGGTGCCCCGACCCACAGGGACCCCCTCCCGTGCGGCTCTGGAAAGGGGAAAAGGGGTAAAACTTACCTTTTTCCAGCGCTGGGCGGGGAGCTCTCCTCCTCCTCTCCGCCTCCGATCCGCCCTATCGGCTGAATGCGCATGCACGGCAAGAGCTGGCGCGTATTCAGCCGGTCACATAGGAAAGCATTATCAATGCTTTGCTATGGACGCTGGTGTGCTCTCACTGTGAAAATCACAGTGAGAAGCACGCAAGTGCCTCTAGCGGCTGTCAATGAGACAGCCGCTAGAGGCTTTGGGGGAAGGCTTAACCCATTGATAAACATAGCAGTTTCTCTGAAACTGCTATGTTTATAAAACAATGGGTTAACCCTAGCTGGACCTGGCACCCAGACTACTTCATTAAGCTGAAGTGGTCTGGGTGCCTAGAGTGGTCCTCTAATGATACTGGATGTGGCTCTGAAGTCTGTGCCCCTGTCAGAATCAGTACATCTGTCAAAAAGCAATATGCAGCCATTTTACCTGCCTTCCATCCTTTTCCCAGGGGACATTTTGAGTTCTGATGAGTTATGCATGATAGACAGGTCTACTCATTCAACAGTGTGCTACTGTGAGCTGCTAACTGACTTGCAAAGATAAGATCACATGAAATTGAAAACTACCACTAATGAATTGGATTTTATCAACATGACTAATTTAACCTAACATTTTCAAGTCTGTTCTCAACAGGCCACAACTCACTGTTTAGTGAATATGCCCCAGAGTACATTTAACTCAATATTTAATGCATTAGATCTGAAACCCTATTTTCATAAGGTAGATACTTATTATAATGTTTTTTATTTTTCATTATTACCCTGCACATAGACTTTAGTCCGTGCAAATATTCAGATATGAAACATGATTAAAGGGATCCAATAGGGATCCTATAGTGTAGGGTTATTAGCTCCCCCACTCCTTTGGGGCACCCCTCCCGCACCCCTTCCTTTAGCCACTTACCTGAATCCAGCGCCGATGTCCCTTGGCGCTTGGTCAGGCTCTGCCCACGCTCCTCCCAATGTCAGTTGGCGGGGAAGACCTAATGCGCATGCGCGCCAATGCCAGTGCACGCATTAGACTTCCCCATAGGAAAGCATTATTAAAATGCTTTACTATGGGGAAAATCTGAGGCTGGTGGTCCATGAGGACGTCCAACATCAGATAACGGACTAAAAGTCCGTTTAGATTCCAGAACCCCTATAGTGGCTGTCTGTTAGACAGCCACAGAGGGCAGACTTAGAGCTGCAGTGTAAACATTGCAGTTCTCTGGAATTGCAATGTTTTAAATTGCAGCACTAAGTGCAAAAGGGTCACAGCCCCCAAACTACTTTAATTAGCTGAAGTGTTCTGGATGCCTACAGTGTCCCTTTAATTAATGAGTTTTTGATATTTAAGCAAGTATTATTGAGATAAAATGACATCACAATGAAAGAATGATGTTATATTTGTACTGTTTATACACTTTATTGAGCTTATTTATTCACTTTATTGAGCTGGTAAGGCTTTGATTTTATGGTTCACTAGAGTCTTTATCCGTGTATTTATTTAATCCCTTGAGTTGTGCTAGACAGTAAATTGCTGATGGTCAGAATGTGCATAACCGAAAAATGACACAGGACAATTTTCTTTTGTTTTGTGCTTCAGGCAAAGTGCTACTGACAGCAAATGGAGATCAATGCAGTGTAATGAACCATCAGCTACATGCGTCAAAACGCTGTCCTCTCCACCCTTAACTGTCTTTCAAAAATAATGGCTGAATTCGACACCAAGCATGCTTGTTTCCTTCTTTGGATTTATAACTAGTCACAGTCATTTGTTGGTTTTTGTTTTGTTTGTAATTTCTTTTGTTGCTTTTATGTAGTATGCTCAGGCATTTTAAGACCATTTAGTAGAGTGAATGTCCTCTTGTAATAGAACTCTTAATGGTAAAATTATAACAGACATATTAAAGGCAATATTATAAAATGATTCATTGTTATTTGTAATTCCCATATTTCATTGTGCTACATTTAGTACATATAAACATAAAATATGGATATATGTGAAGAGAAAATATATTCCAGAAAAGTCAAAATAGGAAAAGCTATTGCCCTAGCATAGTAATACACTAATTAAACAATAAATATATATATTTTAAATGGGAATGTTACTTAAAGGAACACTGCAAGCACCATAATACTTACTGTTCCCTGGTGCTTCCTCAATTTAATTAGAATGATTTGACTTCTTACCAGGCATCTGCTGGTTGCCGTTGCCCACCCCTCTGCATCCGCCAGCAGTGCAGGGCTCTATGGCTCTGATCAATCAGATGACACTCTCAGTCAATGTGCTGGCTCTGCACTGCAGGGCTTAGCTCAATAGAGCTAATGGAAGCTCATAGCAGGAGCTTACAGCTCTCCTACAAACTGCAGAGAGGCATGGAACGGCACCTGTGGACCCACAGTAAAAATAAAAATAATACAAAAAATAAATTCTAAAATGCTTTGCTACTGACATTGGGGGCTCAACTGGGCGCTCTTAGTCCCATAGCCACTACAGAATGAGATGCATGTAGGGGCTGGAAGGGGAATGAGACATGGAGGGCCTGGGGGTTGTGAGTGAGACACATAGAGTAGCCGAGGTACACACATGGAGGGCATGGGGAGAGAGAATGAGACACATGGAGGGGCTGGAGGGAATGATACACATGGAGGGGCTAGGGAGAGATAATAGGACACATTGAGGACCTGAGGGGAGGGAATGAGACACATGGAGGGGCTGGGGAGTGGTCATGTTAATGAGATACATAGAGGTTCTGGGGGAAAGAATGAGATACTCGGGGAGGCAATTTTCTCACCAGGCCCGGTGGTTTCTAGTTACGCTTCTGGACAAGATCTATACACCAAATCGGCTTTATTAACCCCTTCCCGACCAAATACGGAAATTTTCCATCAAACTTGTCCTTGCATTAAGGACCTTTGACAGAAAATTTCCATCATTTGCTAAAGTTAACCCCAGATCGCGGCGATTGTGCCGATCGCAGGGTTAACACTCATCCGGAAGCACCCGATCTCGCTGTCCCTGCAGCAGTGATCGCTCTGACAGGCTGTCAGAGCGAGCACATGTGCTGCAGGGACTTACAATTCACTTCCCTGCTCTTCCGCATCCAGTGTGAAGTGCAAGGAGATGGATCACTGCTGATCTTCTTCCTGTGTAAAAAATAAATAAAGTTAGTTTAAAATCCCACCCCCTTTACCTATTTTAAATAAAAAATTAACCCCCTCTGCCAATTGATCACTAACTACAGTGATCAACTACAGTGATCAATTGGCAGGAACTACATTTTACTGTCATCTGACTTTTTTTTTAACCTTCAGAGGCTACATTTATTTTATTAATTAATTTAAATATTTAAAAATTATATATTTAGCTAGCTGGGGTGGGTGGAAGTTAGTGGGGAATTGGGGAATAGGCTAACTAGGGGTTAATGTTAGAAAAACTGTTTTAAAAAAGCTTTAAAAAGTTTTAAAAAGTAAAATAAAAGCTTTAATAACGTTTAAAAAAGTTAAAGAATTCCACCCCTTTACCCAGTTCAAATAAAAATTAACCCCTTCCCTACCAGTTGATCACTGCCTATGATTACAGTATTACAGTGTGATCTAATTTTTTTAACCACTGAGGATTAACTTTTATTTATTTTTTTAACCCTCAGGGGTTAAATTTTTTTAATTAATTTAAATATTTTAAAATTATATAATTTGCTAGCTGAGGTGGGAGTTATGGGAAAGTGGGGAATTTACTGTTAGTGCTGCTTACTGCTAGTTAGGGATTAACGGTAAAAAAAAAGTTTAGACAATTTTTGAAAATTGTAGAAAAAGTTAAGAAAGTTTAAAAAATTGAATAAGTAAAATTTTTTTTTTTTTTTAAAATGAGTTTTAAAAAGTAAAAAAATACATTAAAAAATGCTCCTTACCACTACACTTGGAACATACTAGCGAAAAAATGATCCCACGCTAAGGTTCAAAATATGCCTTTTGAATTACCCCGGGATGTATTCTTTAATAAATAGTATGTTTGTGGGGAAGTTTGAATAACCAGCCAGCTAAACTACTCCAAAATGGAACATGGACACAGCGTAAAACTTAAAAGCTAGAAAATACTGATTGGCTACGTCTCAAATGTGCCCTTTTAATGTCCACATATACATGGCAAAGGTACATATGGAGGTATTGCTATACTCAGCCGACATAGCTGAGCAACATATGAAGTATTATACAGTCGTAGCACAAATAAGGTTTGCAAAATATACTGTGCAAACTCACTTTGTGTGTCAAAAAGGCAGAAAAAAATGCTTATTACTACTACACTTGGTACAAGCTAGCGGAAAAACTATCCCACACTAAGGTTCAAAATATGCCTTTTGAAATACCCTGGGATGTCTTCTTTAAGAAATTGTATGCCTTTATGGTGTAGTTGGAATACATAGCCTGCTCAAGTGCTCCAAAGTGGGACATGGACGCATCAAAACCCTCCATGAAAATCTATTATTAAAAACCTGAACTTGTCACGTCTCTTGTACAGCAATGTAACTTCACAAAATAATGTCTAACTCATACATTGGGCATATTGTTTTACTCAGAAGATGTAACTGAGCATAATTAGTTTTTTTATGACAGTGGTACATATCAAGTGTAAGAAATACTCAGCAAAAATGCAACATATATGTAAAAATGCAATGTTTTCCCCTCACCACAAACATTGACATAAAGTGGTGAAAAAATGGTGACAGGTTAAGGCACAATATACACCATATAAGATACCCTGGGGTGTCTGCTTTATCAAATGTGGGGTTATTTGAACAGTCACACCGCTATAATACCCTAAAATGAGACATAGGCCCGCCAAATCCATCCATGAAAAGTCTAACTATAGAAACTGAAATAGCCTTGTCTCTTATATGGCATTGTAGCTTCACAGAATAGTGCCAAGGGCATATAATGGGGGTATCGTTATATTCAGTAGATGTATACAGCAATGTATATGTAATGAACATATGGGCTAGTCCCAAGTAAAAATAAAGTATTGGATGTTAGTTCCATTTGAAGCGGTGTCCTGTGTGGATTTTTAGGGATCCCAGCCACAGAGTTGTTATACCTGTTAGCTAGTTGCATGATCTCTCTAGCACTGGGATAAATGTAGAGAGCTAAGCCTGTAAAGGCAATAGAAATCACATCGCAGGCAACGGTGGATACCTGCCTGAAAGAAGGGCTATAGCGGAACAGAGAGAGGGGACAATACCTGCCTGGAAGAAGAGCTGCAGCGGAATAGGCAGAGGGGACTGAAAGAAGGGCTGCAGCGGAACAGGGAGAGGGGACGATACCAACCTGGAAGAAAAGCTGCAGACTGGTTGGGTGGAAAAGCTCTAGAAGGAACTGTAGCGTTACTCACCTTATCCAGGGGTCGGCCGCGGTCCTCTCTTCAAGCCGCGCGCGGTCCTGCTGCTGCACGAGCCGCACGCGGCTCATCTGACAGCTCCACTAGCAAGGTCACGTGTCCCGCCTGAATCTAAGAGCGCGCCGCGAGTCTCGGGCGCGCTCTTAAAGAGACAGTGGGAGCCTAAATTGTCAAAAGGCTCCCATTGGCCCCTGTCATACCACACTCCCCATACACTTACCTTTTGGGGGTGTGGATATGACAGGAGCCAATCACATTAGTTTTGAAACTTACCTCTCCCTTTACTCCCTGCCCTATCGTGGTTTCTGTATCAGTTCCCTTTAGCGCTTGTTGTGTTCAGTTGTGTTTCTCCGTATTGACTTTGGCTTTGTTTCTGACTATGTTTTCTCTTAATCCTTATCTGTTCTGGTTGTCGGCTTGCTGTTTACTGTGTACCAGACCCCGGCTTGTCCTAGTTTACGCTGTCTCTCTGTGCCCTTGATTTCGGATCGTTCCTGACTCTGTCTCCTCTCATATACGTTGAGTCCGGCCATTCTAAGGTCCGGTAGACATATCTCTCCTCTGTGTTGTCTTCTGTTTAGCTGAATCCTGCGTGTTGGGGTATATTCTCGTTACATTAACCCAGTCAAGTCACGGCGACTCTGGCAGAAGAGCGTCAGTTTTCCCCGGTTTTAGCTATGAAGCGATCCTGGGTGGAGGTAACCAGACAGTATACAGGGAGCTCCGCTACAATTGGTGGCAGTGGTGGGATGGCTTCTAGCCGTGGGGAAACCAGCGCATCTTTGGGGACACCCACCTACGGGAAGTGGGGATATAGAAGACATGTACCGTCGTGCAGTATCCCACTTCGACGCAAGACTCCAACAGTGCAACAGGATGTTCTGCAATGTAGTGATGACCCTATCTCAGACGGGAGAAAACCAGAATGGAGGGTGGCGATCCAAACTGATCTCTGGAAGGAGGACCTCACTGAAATTGGACCCTTCCAGAGTGAGTTCCTCCCGACCACAGACCAGTGCCGACAGGAACAACTAGAGCTGCGGATGCCATTCCTAAATGCATAGAGGGAGAGGACTACGATGGCACTGGTCTTTTGTGGCAGGTTTTTGAGGATGGTATGGTATTAGGAGACCCAGACAGTTCCCGCTTCTTGTGCATCTGAGATGAGCGAGAAGAAAGCTTAGACCAGTGGTAGTCAACCTTTTTCTACCTACCGCCCACTAATGCATCTTTCTTGATGGAAAAATTTCTTTACCGCCCACCAGTTTTCGCGCAAGTGCGGAATATTTTTTAGAAAGGAGGGTGTTTTAAAAAAAAATAAAAGTACGTACATTTATCTTTTTATTTCTACATAATGCATGTTTATAATGTTTTTAACTTTATAAATTTTAATTGGAAAACAATAAAGTAAATTGAAATGACCTTTACTAGTGATTAATGAGATCCTTGAGGCTGATGCTGCAAGACTAAATATTTGATATCTGGTTCGATTTTCGTAAAGAACAAACAAAGGTCTCCTCTTTCGGTGATATTCAGACGACTTCTCTGTTTGCGCATAATATGATTTCTCATCTGTGCGTCAGCTCATCTCATCTCCCTCCTCAATTCCCCTCCCCACCTTTTTTATCCCTTTTTTTTTTTTAACCTTCCTTATAGCAATGCCCAGTAGGAAGGCTTAGCTCGGTAGCCCACTTACTATAGCCGACTATAACAGACAGGCACACATACATACACACACACACATAAAAAGACACATACATACAAACAGACAGGCACACATACAGACACACACAGACAGGCACACACACAGACACACACACACAAGACACATACATACAGACAGGCACACATACATACAGACACACGCACACATACATACAGACACACACATCCATACAAACAGACAGGTACACATACATACAGACACACACATACATACATACATACAAACAGACAGGTACACATACACACATACAGACAGACACAAGACACATACATACAAAGACAAGACACACATACATACACACACACACATATATACAGACACACACACACACACACACACACAAGACATACATACATAGACACACACAAGACATACATACAAAGACACATACACACAAACAAACACACACAAAATATTTTTGTGACTTTCCCTGGGGTCCAGTGGTGGCTCAGGTGCATGGGAGTCAGAGTTCCGACTCTGACTCCCTGGTCTTCCTCCCGCGCGGCTCTCAGTTTTAGCTGGGAGGAGTGACGTGCAGTCACTTCCTCCCAGCGTGTGATGTAATAGGGGGCCCGGTCGCGCTGTTAAAGCGCCCAGCGCTGACTGGGCCCCCTCTCAATCCACATCCATCGGGTGGCCCTGACAGCATGGGCCACCCGATGGACCCCTTGGGTGGCGGCCCCAGCGGTTTGCCACGCGGGCCGGGGCCGAAAATGGTGACGGCGGTACCCGGTCGCACAGGTACCGCCGGCTCGCACCCGCCCACCGAATCTCTGAAATCCCTACCGCCCACCTGGAATCCTGAAACGCCCACTAGTGGGCGGTAGGGACCAGGTTGACGACCCATGGCTTAGACCTTAAGGGGATAATAGAAATGCAATCGGATCTGACTTTTTTGGTTAACCTGGAGTGGGAGCTTGAACAGGACTACAAACGCCTGTTTTGCCGGATAACGCTGCCAGTCTCTGAAGTGATGGAGCTCATGAACTTGGCAACCCAGGGATAAGAGAGTATCATCCTCCATCCCCAGCACCAGAAGGTGTTCCGAGGAGGGGAGACAGCCAGTCTCATTTCCCAGCGGCCGAGGGAGTTACAGGGCGTGGAGCTGGTCGGTCTCACTCCCCAGCGGCAGTATGCACTCAAAGGAGGGGAGCGTGTTGTTTTCCATCCCCAGCGGCAGTGCGAGCTATTGGGAGTGGAGACAGATGGTCTCACTCCCCAGTGGCAGTGTGCATCCCAGTAAGAGGAGAGTATCATCCTCCATCCCCCAGCAGCAGTGTGAGTTCCAGGGAGGGGAGACGGTCGGTCTCTCTCCCCAGTGGCAGAGTATGTTACAGGGAGTGGAGACAACTGGTCTCACTTCCCAGGGGCAGTGTATGTCCCAGGGAGAGTAGGGTATTGTTCTCCAACCCCAGCGGCAGAGTATGTTTCAGGGAAAGAAGCATATCGTCCTTCCTCCCCAGTGGCAGTGCGAGTTATTGGGAGTGGAGACAGCCGATCTCACTCACCAGCAACAGCAGACATTACTGGGAGTGAAGAAAGTCAGTCTCACTCCCCAGCAACAGATTGTGTTCCAGGGAGGGGAAACAGTCAGTCAGTCTCACTCCCCAGCAGGAGTAATCCCCTAGAGAGGAGAATTGCGCCCTCCATTCCCAGTGACAACTTAGTCCACAAGGAGTGCAGTGCAGCAGTTTTACGTCCCAGCATTACTCTGGATTTACAAACTGGAGCTTCTGGCAGGAGGCCATTTGGATAACTGAACCTTTTGAAAAAGGTCACCAGACTAACACAGACCTAGACCGATTGGAGGTCTGAGATCTTGTTAGTCTCCCAGGGAGGGGGAAGATATGTGACAGTAGTCACCATCACCTGGGATTTCATAAGGACATTTTATGCAGGATCCTGGACTATTCCTATGTTTAAGTCACCCTGTATCTACTGTGGGTGCAGTTATGTGGTTGTTTGGGGTTAAATGTTAGTGTGTTCTCCTGTCTTGTTAATGCTTGCAATCAACTAGGTGGATTTGGCTGTGGAGCCTGTACAGCGCCACCTGTTGGTTGCAAGGATCTAGCAACCGCTGTATGGACAACCTGAATAGCAAAGAGAGCTAATTTGTATATTCGGGTAGATTTGCATATTTCTAACTCTGCAGACAGGAGAGATATGTTCTGTTAATTAATGTCTTCCCCATCCCTTTATAAATATGTTATTATGCTATTATAATATCCTGTATATTTTGTGACACGTTTTGGTTATTTGAATTTTATTATGTTTGTCACAGCAATGTATATGTAATGATCATATTGGCTAGTCCCAAGTAAAATAAAGTATTCAGGTGTAAGTTCCATTTGGAATGGTCCTGTGTGGATTTTTAAGGGATTACAGCCACAGAGTTGTTGTACCTGTTGGCTGGATGCATGTTCTCTCTAACTCTGGGATAAATCAAGAGAGCTAGGCCTGTGAGCTACAAGTGCCTTTATAAAGGCAATATAAATTACATTGCAGGCAGAGGTGGATACCTGCCAGAAGAAGGGCTACAGCAGAATAGGCAAAGGGGACAATACCTTCCTGGAAGAAGAACTGTGGTGGAATAGACAGAAGGGACGATATCTACCTGAAAGAAGAGCTGCAGCGGAATAGGCAGAGGGGAGGCTACAGCTGGGTCGGGTGGAATAGCTCCAGAAGGACCCCATTCTAAATTCCCTATTCCTCCCACAATAGTGCCTCTATTCCCCAATATTACCCCTATCTCCCCCCGCTAAAGCCCCTGTCCTACACAGTACTACCCCTATTCTCCCCACTAAAGCCCTATTGTGCAGTGCTACACAATTTGTTGGCGCTATATATATTATAATAATAAAGTCTGTATCCCACACAATTCTGCCCCTATTCTTCACACTAAAGCACAGTGACACAGGAAGGGGCTGGTGGACAAGTAAGGGACACGTGGTGGTGTATGACCCACTAAAGGGGGGATATAATACACTAAAGGGGGTTTAACACAATCACAAAGGGGTAAGACATTCAAAAGGAGATATTTAAAACTAAAAGGGCTAAGAAATTTAAAAGAGAGGTTACGAGGCACACAGGTGAAGACACTTTTTTTTGGGGGGGGGAGGGCTGCAAAATGCATCTTCGCCTGTGTAGCCAAAAATCCTTGCAATGGCCCTGTTTAGATGACATTGTTTTGGTGCCTGGAGTCTCCCTTTAACTTTCAGTTCACTACACTAGTTTAGTAAAGAAACTCATTGGTAAATACTACTTCAATAACAAACTTATGTATTGAATTTAAACGCAATATTCTCTTTAACATTGTGTGGCATAAAACACAGTGTGGCAAAATAATTTAAGATATAAACGTATTACGTTTGAATATGTGTAACTGTTGGAATGTCATCAAGCACCATCATAGGTATAATAGCATTGGGATTTACATTCCTGCTACCAGAACACATTAGCAAAAATGCAGAGTCTGTAAGTATATTTTCTTCTTTTGAATGCCAAAATATTCCATATTATTACACAATGAGTGGACAAACAAACAAGCCATTACAACAGAACAATTTGGATATACTGGCGCTAAAGGTGCTGAGATTCTAATGTGTCAATGTGCATAGCAAGAAAAAAGGGATTTGAGTACAGCCAAAATATGCATTGATTGTGCCGTGAAGACAAAAATATAAACAAAAAACATATTAACGAAAAGAACACACACACAAAAATACAGTAAAGTCACATATCTCAGCAAACAAATACGGGGATTCTATACAAAAGAAACAACGTCTACAGGTAGTGGCTGTCTAAAACCAGACTAATCCACTAAACCAGTAGAGGATAACACCTTAGAAGACACTCCAGAAGTGTCATGGGGCATAACCCCTAAATATAGAAACTACAAACAAGATGCTCAAAATACCAGATATATGAGTATCGACTGGAAATCTAGTTGCTGAAAAATAATAAATATAAATAAATAAAAGTGGTATAGGTGGAAAAGTTCAAACATTAATAATAATAAATGGTCAGACAAAAGGGTAATACAAGCCAAATGGCTAATCTCCTGTCCTAGTGTCTCTAGAATAGTCTCTAAAGCTCTCAGACTTAGACTTTAATATAATCCTGGTTTGGTCAATATCTGAGATTCATATGGGCTATAAATCAGAATAGATATTTATATTTAGAATTTTTCAGCAACTAGATTTCCAGTCGATACTCATATATCTGGTATTTTGAGCATCTTGTTTGTAAATACGGGGATTCATTTATACCATATGGTCATATTGTGATGAGCCGACCAGTATTTCACGGTCACATGTGTAAAGCAGGGAAAATATAATTATTGTGATTAACAATATAACAGAAACAATCCCTCTATTTAAAGTACTCTGAGGTCAGGGGATCTTTGAAAATATCACTACATTTAGAAAAAATATATATATATATATATTTTTTTTGCATAGATTTCATTAGGATATTGCAGTGATAATCAGTATTTATTCACTAAAGTGAGAATTAAAGGTGAATTTCAAATCAGCCAAACTGGAAGCATAGCAGACATAGAAAATGTTTTCAGTTCGGACATTTTAACCTTGAATTTCAAATTCACTTTGAATTCTCCATTTAGTAAATAACCCTGTATATATTTTAACCACAAATATTTTGTTTAAGTAAATGTAATTGACAATTACTAAAGTCACCTTTACCCTTTATCTATATTCCTTTCATAATAAGGAAGTATTTCCAAGAACAGGTCTGTCAACTTGCCCAAGATATTATGCGCTAAGTGATGCGTGCTTTGCTGACCTTGTGTATAGTTATGTATGTAGTTACTTAGTACCTTAGGTACACAGTTTCTTTACATACTACATGGAACACAGGCACAAATGCAGAAGTAGCAACATTTTACAATCTAAAAATAATACATAAGAATGGACACTATATTCACCAGAACCACTAAAGCTTAAAGTAGTGGTTCTAGTGTCTATAGCCTGTATAGCATACAGGGCCGGTGCAAGGATTTTTGCCGCCCCAGGCAAAAGAAAGATTTGCCGCCCCACCCCCAACCACCCCCAGTGACATCACAATGCCCCACCCATATGATCTGCCATATGAACTAACGCCAGTGCTGCACACAGTGTGTGTTTACATTAAAAAGCCTGCAGGGACAAACTATAGACACCAGAACCACTTTATTAAGCTGCAGTGGTTCTGGGGACTATAGTGTCCCTTTAATGTGAGGTAAATTAGAGATTAGTGTCAATAATAATATACTAGATTGCCTACTTACAATCAGATGAGGATGATGATGGGCTCTGGCTGCAGTCTGGCCCCACTGGTCTGGTGTAGAACAGAATCTCTGGAGGCTGTTTGTAACTGTGGTCACAAAATTCAATGTTCTGGGAGAACGGGAAGCAGTTCCATTTTTTGGGGTCCCTTACACAGTTCAAGGTCTGGGCCCCAGGGCCCGAC